AGATAGTGCTTGCGTGTGTGTGCACCTTTTAAACAATATCTACAACTATTTTAATTACTTTATCATTACTTTATCGGCAAAGGCTAGAACCAGAAAGTAATTAATAAAAATTGTCTAATAGTTAGAAGATATCACAAAATGTACACACTGATTAAAAAATCATGCACTTACTCCACGGAGGAGAAATCTGAGGTGTGTGCCCTTGACAAGCCTGTAGTAGCACTGTTGGTTCCCAGCCCCCAGCCATTCCCTCCTCCTTCCTGGTGGGCAAAAGCTCCTTTTGTTTGGACATTGTCCTCCCCAAATGAGTCAAGGGTAGATGCCTGCCTGAGAAGTCTCCAACCGCGCTTGGACACAGTAGAGAGAATCTGGATTCCTGCAGTCACTTCCTGGTGGGCAAAAGCTCCTTTTGTTTGGACATTGTCCTCCCCAAATGAGTCAAGGGTAGAGGCCTGCCTGAGAAGTCTCCAACCGCGCTTGGACACGGTGGAGAGAACCTGGATTCCGGCAGTCACCACCAAGCCACTGCTATCACATTCCTGCAGCCACCTGACTGTGAGACATCTTATTATGTGAAACAGCAAATTGTCCTTGTCATTTAAAGCAGCCCCCTTGAGATTTTCTCTTTTTTGCAACAAAAATAATTATAACTAATATAAAGCCTATTTACTGTTCTTTGTTGGACAATTTTAATAACTTTGGCTGCTTACTCTCTGAGCCTAAAACATACTCGAGTAGTGAATTAGATAGGAGGAACTGAAATGCTTCAGACACACTCCTAAGAGCAGGTGGGACAGCTGATGGCCTGGGAGCCAGGGAATGGACTTCTAAAATATAAAATAAAAGACAGAAACAAGAAGTTAAAAACACAAAGCTTGAATTCATTTAGTATCGAAGCAGAGAAGGCCACACGCCTCAACCCACCAAGGCATCGCTGTATTAAAGAGCAGAACAATACTGAAATAATCTATTTAGAGGAAATTCCATCTAAACTGATCATTGTTTTTTTAAGTTTTTCTGCTTAAGGGTTGAACCACAATTACCTGGAGGAGAAAACAGAGCTAGTTAGAACCACTCATTCGCTGAGAGTTTCAGGTGTCGTGGATTTTATGCTACATGTATATTAGAAAGCATTATTCAAGAGAGTCACTGAAACTCAGTGGCCATTTGTGCTCAGAAGCCACATTATAAAAAGTGATTAGATCCTAAGGACAGTCCACAAAAGCTCATTTCACTCCAAATGGACCTAAAACATGTTGGGAACAATGCCAGGTTAGGACAACAGGCAATGTGCCCCCACTGGAAATTACTGTGCTGTTCCAGACCAGTGCCATCTGGCTCAGAGTAATGAGGCACTGTGACAGGGTCCATGCTGCCCCTGAGCTGCCTGCCCATCTCTGATGGTGCTCTGGTAAGGCTGGCTGAAGGTCTGTGCTGGAGAGCAGACCACGCTCTCAGCTGGGAAATGGGAGAGATGATCCTTAAGGTCTCCTCCAATTCTGTTTTCAATCTCTCCTCATCCCTGCAGGTTCTGAGGGGTCAAAAAGATATTATGAATGGTGGCTCTTCTGTTCCTGCATCAGAGAAGTGCCCGATCCTGCCGCTGCCCGAGGTCCCCAGGTTCAAGGACGCCCACACCAAGGGCAGCAGGAGCGGGCAGGACTCTGTGGTGGCTGTGGTGGAGGACATGAGATGTGTGCACAATTGCTAGCTTCTCCCGCGAGCCTTGGATTTTGGCTCCCACAGGTAAAGGAATGTACTTCTCCTTCAAACCCCTGGTCAGCTAAGCCCTCCCTGTGGACGCCTCTCTGAGTCTTCCTGGCTGAAATTAGAGATGCTCCCTCGGAACACGCTTCCCCTCCTTTCTCGCACCTCTCCCGTTCTGCCCTGCACTGTAGTTACTGTGGGCACGTCTTCTCTCTCCCATTAGGATGTATCCTATGAGCAAGGTCCATGTGAGCCCTTTTAAAGATGGGGGGAATTGGCCTTTCCCTCTGGGAGCTGGCCAACTGGTTGAAGCAATTGCACAAGTGCACCGAAGATGGGTTTTGGAGGTCACAGTTTTCATCAGACATTAATTCATTCACACATTCAGCGAGCAGGTACGGGGGTCTACTGTGTGTTGGACATTGAATTGGATTCTTGCAGAGGGATAAGGTGAATAAGAGTTAGACGGCCTTTTTCCCTCCAGAACTCACTGCCTCATGATGGAGGCTGTCACCTTCTCTGACCCTCAACATCAATTCAGAGGTGGAAATTGAAGTCAGAACATGTTGGTCACCCACCAAATAGTCACTGACTATGTGAAAGAGAGAAAAATTACTATTCTATGCCACTTGACTTTGGAAGTTCAGACATGTATGAGAGTATGATGGTCTTATCCAAAAATCTCTAGAGATAGGGGAGGGACAGGCCACCTGAGGAGTCACTGTCCCTGCCATGGAGGGAGTGGAGAGAGATGGCTGGCACTAGAGCTGAGGACATAAAGTACAAGGAAGGGCAGGCCGCATGCCATGTCTCACAGTGAACATGGACACGGGGCCTGCAGCCAGCCTGCCCAGATCTGAATCCCAGCCCGGCCATTTACTTGCTGTAACTTCACCGTGTCTCAGTTTCCTCATTTGTGAAATGCGGATCGTGACAGTACCTTTCTCACACAGTTGCGGTGAGGACTAAAAGAGCCAATGTAGATAAAGGGCCCAGCATGGTGAGTTGTCATTGTTCTGTTGTCTGTACTGAGAGGGTCAGGGCCGGGAATGAACAATCTCACTCCTACCAGTAAGGTCAGTCCCTTCACTGTAGAGACACAAAGCCGACCTCTCAGCTACCGTGACCAACACTTTCCAGAGAATGTCCACTTCTATCCTCGGGAGTAATGAATTTCCAGACCTCTCCAACAAAGAAGACTTCCCAGATACTAGAGAGCAATATTCATAACTGGACAGGGAGTGTGGACGTCCCCATCCTGGAAGCTCTATTTTGGCTCAGGACATTGATAGACACGTAGTTACCCCGAGGAGACATCACAGTGACCCTCCTCCTTCCCCACATCCAAACATCTCCAGAATGAAGCCTGCCCTCCTCTGCTTCCACGTTAGCTCGGGCCCCGTCCTCCCACCTGAGCCCCTGCATCTGTGGGCTCTTTATAAACCATCTCCCCACTAACCCCATGGTCCTTATAAAACCCAGATCTTGCGATGTCACTTCTCTGCTTAACTATGCCTGGTGAAGAAATTCAGATGAAAACAAAAACAACATAGTGCTTTCCCACCACAGGATTATGACTGAAGTTAAAGTCTGGTGATATCAGGTATTTTTCTAGAGTCTGGGGAAGGAGATTCTCACACACTGTTGGTGCGAGTGTCAACTGATCATTTTGGAGGGTCTTTAGGTAGAGCTGACAAAACGTTAATGCCCTCTGACCCAGCAACTACAGGTTCCAAATCTACCTAGGAACCTTCCTAGGCGAATGAAAGAGGAATACCAAGGACATTTATTGAGCCTTGCTTGCAGCAGAGAAAAACTCAACCTAAATGCCCACCAGTAGGGAAATGGCTAAACTGTGGTATATTATGTTCTGAAATAGTATGCAGCATTAAAAACACAAGCTATGTCTAGAAATACTGACATGAAAAGATGTTACATAACAATACGTTCTAGGCTGAATTATGCCCCTTTCCCTATTCATATGTTGAAGTGCTAACCCCCAGTACCTCAGAATGTGACTGTATTTGGAGACAGGGTCTTTAAAGAGGCAATTAAGGTAAACACGAGTTCATATGGATAAGCCCTAATCCACAGTGACGTGTTCTCATAAGATGAGATAGGACACAGATATGTTCAGGGGGAAGTGATGTACAGGCACCAGGAGAAGGTCATCTGCAAGCCAAGGAGAGAGGTCTCAGGAGAAACCAGTTCTGCGGACACCGTGATCTCAAACTTCCAGCCTCTAGAACTGTGAACAAATAAACTTCTGGGTTTAAGCCACCCAGCGTGTGGTACTTTATTACAGCAGCTCTAGCAAACTAATACACAGTATTGGATGTTTTCTGTGGGTGCGTGTAGATGCGTGTGATGTATGGAACACAGAATGAGAGGGTCCACCCCAGCCTGGTGACAGTGGTTACCTTTGGGGACGAATTGGGTGTGAGATTGGGGATGGTGGATGAAGGGGATTTTAGCCTTAAAAATAAGATTTTAACTTTTATAATAAGAAAATACTCATATATTATTTGTATACCCATTTAAAAAACTAGCTCTCTTCCATGGCACTCCATTAAATACAATACACAACAGACTTCACCACCTGTGTCCCACTGTCTTTGGAACTTTACTCCTGTCCACTCCCATCCCCTACCCTTGCACACCTATTTGCCACTCCAAATCATTCGGTCACTCTGATGACTTCATGCCTGTCTGTCCCCTCTGCTTGGAACGCTGTTTCCCTTTCCTAAGCCTGAGTTGTTGATCTTTCTCCTTCGGAGCTCAGATTGAATGTCACTGCTTTATAAATACATTGCAAAAAGCCTTACTTGGAAGATTTTCCTGATGCGCACTTCTCTGTTCTTTAGATTTCTTATTCGTGTTTGTACCCCTGGTCCCTAATCAGTGCTGCAGCCAAGTAAATGCTCAATAAGTGGTTCCAAGTGGATGGATGATGGGACGTTTTTCAGCAGGTTGCTTTTCCATCTAGTGTATCTCAAAGGTCCACCACTGCATTCTGTGTGTGTTAACAGGCTCCCAGGAGACCAGGGCTGAAACCATGACATGTGCGAGGTCCTAGCCTCACACTCATTCCTTTAATACAACAGGAACAACTATATTTCTGGACCAGCCAAGCCCCATTTGCTTTCAATTCTAGTGAAATCTGCTGAGAATGTATTGCAACTTATTTTACTCAAGTTCTGTACCCATAAAGGTCTTCAATTACTTAACCCATAATAGGCCCAAGTCAAAAATGTTTAATGACCTCTGACTGGGAGGCTCTGATGACCCAGGCCTTACCTTTTCATCGGCTTGGGTGAGCACTCTCTCTCCAGGTTGGAGGACGTGTGTTTCACGTGCATCGCATTATAGGAAGTGTGAGTATAGTCATTTTCATCGCTGTAGTCGGGACCGAGCAACGTCCGGGCCCAAGTTCCCATGTCATAAGGAGGAAGTGTTCCTCCAAATTCAGAGGGCAAAAATTCAGGGTGTATTAGCTGGTGAAGGCTGTTTAAATTGTTTCCATGCAGGAAAATCTATAAAGAAAAAAATAATTAGCAATAAAAAATCCTAAACATCTGATCAAGTATTTAATCTAATACACAATGTAGCAATGACAAATTGGATGCACTGCTGGTGATCATGGTATTTAAAGAGGCATTCATTTTTGTGTCAGTGGCTTGGTCTTCATACAATGTTAATTTATTGCTCAGGAAAAGGGATGAATTAATAGTCGTTAAAAATGAGGTTTAAGAACAGATTGGGTATTATTTGGCCATGGCCCAAATTTACACATACAGTCATCTCACATCCCTACTGATGAACGGAGCATTGGTGCTGACCGTCTGCAGCCCCAACCCTGCCTGTGCAAACCTCAGATGCTGCCTTTCCCCACACTCTCTACCTCCCGCAGTCCTCCCCGTCATTCCTTGCCTGGACCAGGTTGCAGCTTCTTCCTAACCTGTCCCAGGTGCACCTGCCCATTCTGGTTCTCCCCATCCACTCCAATGAACTCTTCAATATCTGCTGACTGCTGTTTTTTTCTGTGTTTGTTTATATCTTGTGCCCCCCCCCCCCAGGGAGAGATTACCTAGGGAAAGACATGGCGTTCTCTTATTCCTTTAATACACCCCTTAGCTCTCGGGTTGGTGTAGGCACAAGGTAGAAGCTCAATCAGTTCTTATTCAATGGAATTGAAAACTGTGGCCCGAGCATGTATTGTGGGCTATTTTTGCAGCAATTTTCCATTTTTTGTCTGGATTGAGCACTAATACCCAAAGAAGTTTACATCTTCTGAGAATATGGTGGATAATGATGGAAACTGGTCAAATGGGGAGAAAACACCCCCAAATTACAATTACTTTCAGACAAATTCACAAAGTGGGTAAGCCATAAGTAGATAATTATCACTGAGTGCAATTTAAGAACTGACTCTGAAAGTTGATTTAAAGTGCGTTTGTGTAATGACATAGGTTCCCACGCTTCTTCATATAGCAGGTATGAAGTAACTTTGTGTAGTGTGTAAGTGACACATGATTAACCACATGTAACACATAAGTTGCACCCAAGTATAGGACTGTACACGCATGCATGCACGCACATACACTCATACCACAGTGAACCATGATGAAATATAAATGTGATTTAAAAAACTTAAATATAGGACCTCAGTCATAAACACTTGCTACCTTTTTCTATTGTACTGATTTTAACTTATGATGTAATGACATCATTTAAAAAAGAAGGGAAAAAGAAACTAAGTGCTAATTCTCCAGAAGAATACTGCAGCGCTTCAGAAAACAATGTACATTTTCTGACGTTGAAGTTGGGTATGACCAAATTTTCATAAAAATGCTTTCTTTTCAAGAAATTCACTTATTCTGGCTTTTACAAAACTCAGAGGGTGCAGTAGTATTTGAAGCAGGCTAGAACTAAATACTGTTTCTGGTGCTTGGAGCAAAGATTTGTACCCACCCACCCAGCATGTCCAGTTCTTAAAGCACAAGGGGTGCTGTTGAAGCTGGTCTTCCCTTCTGCATGTCCTGTGGGACAGAGGAACACAGAGGTGGGAGGCTGGATCCTTCACCTGTCAGAGTCTGTCCTATGCCCAAAGCTTTAGAAATTCTCTTCTATGGCACAGCAGCAAATCTCCATTGTGGGAGGAATTCCCACTGGCTTCATCCTGAGAAGAAGATGAAGGCACTGGGAAGTCTGAACCCATATTGTAAACAGTCTAGAATACTTCGCTGGCCTCAGCACGATC